GAGATGCTTTGACGTTTTGCCAAAAGAATTTTAATTAAATTACGACCCATGGCAGCAGGCAAAGAGAACGGAATAAAGATGAGAGATCCCAGAACTACTTGGAAATGCGGGCGACCAGCAGCCTTCTCGCACCTAAATCCCCACCCCTATGCATTCCCCTATATACATAAATTAATAAGAGCTTTATGTCGAATTCATGTCACAGACGAAATGATTATTGGTCAAAATGCTGCTGGCTGGAATGTGAATCTGCTTGTGGCACATGGCCATGGCATGTGGAGATGGGAATGGGGATGGGAGATGCCATGTCCAGCCTCAACTTGGATTAATGTCTGGCCCAGTAGGGGCCCAATTCATGGATGGTAATGAGTGTGTGAACAATGTAGGCTGTTTGTCTGTCTGATAAGTACCATCTACCCTACCCGCCTTCTAGCCGCCCCTTATCAAAATGTTGACCAGTTTGGACTGTCTGCAGCCAGTCGCCAATTTCCCGTTGCAGTCGTTCACGTATGCGAACCAAAGCTAAAGCGGCGACGACGCTGTCGATGTCCAATTTCCCGAAATACATTTCGAATTATTTTCGTGCACTTTGCCAATTTCTTTGTGCAATCGACTGGCCTGGCCAAGCCAATGGTTTATGCAATTAACGAAGGCAAACTATTGCAGCGATTTCTCGGGTGAACGAACGACCAGAGTGGCCATAAACTTACACTGCTCGTTGCACTGGCACTGGCACTGGCGGCCAAACGGCTGGCTGCCAATTTCGCTTTATTCGATTGCCTTTTGGCATCGATTCTTTCTTTTAGGAGGCAACTTTTACCTTACCTTCTTTTATGGTTTTTTTTTGTTTTGTTTTTGTTTTTGGCCAGCCAACAAAAGACCAACTTCTGGCTGGAAGAGTGTTTGCTCACATCTCGCGCTATCTAATCGCGGGGTTGCCTTGCCTGCTCCTTCCTTTTGATCGTGTCCCAGTCGGGGGAGACAGCTAACAGCCCTGATTGCCATTTGAAAGTGACTAAGCTTATCAGGGCCAAAGCTTATCTTGGCCAACAACAAGCTGCCATTCCCACTCTCTCGATCCCATCCAACTCTCTTTCTATTGAGGCTCTCTCTCTTTCCAGCTCTCCGGCTGAGGTGGAGTCGCATTCAGTGATCTTTTCAGTGCCAGCCATTCGCGAATTGTAGTTAAGCCTTGACGGTTGCAAAAATTAAAATAACTCTAGAAAAAATCGCCGCTGCGTGCGTGAAATCATTATTAAAAAAAAAAAAAAAAAAAAAAAACATAAAGGCTCTAATTTCTCCTAATTCAAAGTTGGTGACGCGTGTGTGATTAGAGAGAGAGAGAGCTGAGCTACCCTTGTGACACTAATGAGAATAGCTGATGAGTTGAGCTGCTCTGCCACTGATCCGATCCTGCTTGCTTGCTGCCTTTTTTTCCTTCGGGGGTTGCATATCCTTTCCACTGTGCCTCTGTGCGATTGCGACCACTTCGATGGTGGTGGTGATGGTGTTGGTTGGTGTCTCCCTCCCTCATCATCAAGGGGGTTACATAACGAAATCAGTATTTTAATTTGATTTGCTTGTCTTTTAAGTGCCCCTGTCCTTTTAGTCATGGGGGTTTTTCCTCTATCTGTATGTGTGTTTATGTGTGTGTGCGTGGGTGTGCTCCAGTTTCCTCAAGTCAACTCAATCTTTCATTGACTATCGGGCCGGGCACTTGAGTTAATTGATTAGTTTCCAACGCCTTTCTGACAGCCCCGTACATAAGTCAGCTGCCGTTATGGCTATTATTATTATCTTTCGAGATTTTAGCACTCGTACAACTCGTACTCGTACTCGTACACCCTTAGCCAATCCAGTTCAGTGCATTGCAATTGGCAAAGCTCTCTCTCTCTCTCTCTCTGCACTATCTTTACGGGGCATTAACAAGCCTAAGTGGGGAGGGCCGACATTAGATATGACTCCCGAATGGCCTGAAAGTTTCCACAATCAATATCGGCCACAGGGAGGGGAGGAGGAGACCCATAGGTGGTGGGGCTGAGTTGGCAAAAGTGTTTTCCATTTCACATAAATATTTACAAAAAACCCCAGACGAATGGCAAATGGAGATGGAAAGAAAACTGATCGATAGCTGGCGATTACTCACCCTGGAGATGGAATGACTAAATGACTCTTCCACTGACTCTGACTCTGACTCTCCCCCTGTCTGGCCGAGTAATTGAAGCTGCAAATGAAATTAACCAAAACAAAACAAAAGTCTGAAATAAGAGTTGGCCAAGTGCTGGGGCATGGGGTATGTGTGTGGTGTGGGGGGTGGGGGCAGAGTAAATTTAATTTTTTACGAGCTAATGTTCACTCGACATGCAATGTCTCTGATGGCAGCCGATGCCGGTTCAGTTCCATTGAACTGAACTGGATCCATCCCCCGACTCCGACTGAACCGACTACCACTGCAAGTACAGCCAGGACCTCCTCTCACATATCCCACAATGGATTATTTAAAGCCTCGAGTACACGTTTTACCCTGGTCCTGGGAATCCCGCAAGCTGGCTTTAATTTCGATTTGCCGAGCAATTGATTTTTTTTACTCACTTGAGAGCTGGCAAAGGGATAGTGGGGGATGGGATGGGATGAGTGTCTCGTTCATGTCATTACCAGGAGCACATTTCACACTCCAGCACGACACTTGAAGTTGACTTGACCGAACAGCCCCTGCCCCTGACGCTGCTGCTGTTGCTGCTGCTGTTTCTGCTTCTGTCCCTGATCCAGCTCTAGGCTCAACAATTCCCAGCTGCCGACGACTGAGTCGCGTGCTATAAATTTTATTGATTCACTCGAAGGAGGCAACGGCAGCAACCCACTGGCTGGTAGTACGATTCGTTCTGTGGCTGGATGGCCGGGTAGGGTTGGGCCTGGTGGTGGGTCTGAGTGGGGTGCGTCCAACGCATCATATAAATATATCCTTCCGCATTATGTTGCCGCTCATCCGGCAACAGTTTGGGCCGGCGCCTGCGGGTAGGCAATGCTGCTGCTACCACTGCCACTGCTGCAACCCTCAACCTCCGACCAACCCTCCTGCACCCACTGCAAAAATAAAACAAATTGAGAATTTTCGGCAAATACATCGATGCCTTTCGCTCCCTCGCCTGCTCTCTCTGGCTCTGTTTCTCTCTCTGCTGAATCCTCTCGCATTTCAAATGCCGACTGCCGGCTAAGTGCGGGGCCCATGGGTGCGTCAGCTCTCAGTTCCTTTCGATTTGCCGATTGAGTGTGTTGGTTGTTCGTCCTCGTAGTCCTCGTCCTCGTTTGTCGGGCAAAACGCGCGCGCTAAATAATTGTGCAGACAGAACCCACGAAGGAGTAGCAGTGGCAGTGGCAGTGGCAGAGCAGACCAAAGCAAACCAAACCAAACCGGGCCTCTGTACCAGGCACACCAGTAGTAGTCAGCCAACCGAGCAGCAGTCAGCAAGTCCTTTGCTCCCTTCGACAGCATTGCGTAGTGTTTGTTTAGTGTAGTATACTTTTGGGCGCGGCAGCTGAAATCGTGCAAGAAGCACAAGAAGAAGAAAAATCGTCAGAGCAGAGTTCGCCGAAAAAGAAAACTGAAAATATTAATAATAAATATTTTTAAAATTGTTGCGTCCGTTATTTTGATACCAACGAAACAGACCACCAAAAAAAAAAACAAAAAACACATTCGAAAATCATTGAAAATCAAAAAGCAATACACCCATTAAACATTAAGTCAAGCGTGTGTCTGTGTGTCTTTTTGTGTGTGTTTTACGCGTGATCCGAAGAGAGAGAGAGAGTGATTAGAGAGATCTATATAGTAGAGCTATAGCTACATTGTGATTTCATTTTACCTGCAAAAGCAAAAGCAAAGCAAAGAAGATTTAGAAGCAATCCTCCCCAATTTTTATATACAAAACACACACACCAAACTTTGTGACCAAGCAAACGCCAAATTTTTAAACGTTTTTGAAACTTTACAATCAATCTACAAACAAAACAACAACAACTACAAAATGGGTCTGTGTGCCTCCAAGGATAAGAAGGAGAAGGTGATCGAGGGCGATGTGGCCAACGGAGGCGAGCCCAATGGCACCGCAGCCACAGCTGCTGCTGCTGGAGAAGATGGGTGTGTATATAGTAGGGTCTCGGGCTAGGGCTTCCCTTTTGGCCTAGGTCCTAGACGATGGGCGGGCGGGCATTGTGTCTGTATCCCTGGGGCTGACGTCATGTGTATGTGTGCGTGTGTGGGGGGCGGAAGCGAAAGGGGCTGCGTGAAGTTGTGTCTGTAAAGCGCCCAAAAATAAAATGCCATAAAAAAGTTATTATTGCCCTGGACTTTGGCTGAGCCTCCTCTCGTTCGGTCTCGGGCTCTGGCTCTGACTGGGGGCCGGCCGGGTCGTCGCCATGTTGTTGTAGTGCGCATGGCAGAGGCAAGCAGAGTCAGAGCCGGAGCCGGAGCCTGAGCCGAGGCGTGTATATAGATATAGTGTGCCGTCGATTTGCGTATTCAGCGGCAGCCGGCAAAAATGTTATAGTCAGCCACCACCAAAAACAGGACACACGCGAGAGAAGCGACACACACAGAGGCAACAACCACCGTGCACAATCGTACAATCGTACACAAGGGGCGTACATACGGATCCAGGGGTGATGTGATGTGATGTGGATGGGTGGTGATGGTGGTGGTAATCGGTAAGGGGTAAGGGGTGAGGGGTCTCTGGTGTGTGGTGTGTGGCAGTCGCGTGCCGGCGGGCCAAAGTCGAGTGTGAGCACATGGCCATAACCCAAAACTAATTGCGGGGACAAACAAAAAGGAATTGAGGATACATATATGAAAACGTGTTGCCACTGCCGTCTTTTAGGCGCCACAAAACAATAAAAAAGAGAACTTTAGGGAATCTCCCCTGCTATTATGCTATTATTTAGTGCCATTTACTGCCACGCCCCGAAACTAACTCTTGTGTCCGTGTTCTTGTCTCCATTTGCAGCAAACAAGACACCATGGTTGACGCTGCTGTTCTCGCTAAACTGGAAGAGGGCTTTGCCAAGCTGGCCGCCTCCGACTCCAAGTCGCTGTTGAAGAAGTACCTGACCAAGGAGGTCTTCGACAACTTGAAGAACAAGGTGACCCCCACCTTCAAGTCGACTCTTCTGGATGTGATCCAGTCCGGTCTGGAGAACCACGACTCCGGCGTCGGCATCTATGCCCCCGATGCTGAGTCGTACACAGTCTTCGCCGATCTGTTCGATCCCATCATCGAGGACTACCATGGTGGCTTCAAGAAGACCGACAAGCACCCGGCCTCGAACTTCGGTGATGTGAAGAGCTTCGGCAACGTTGACCCAACCAACGAGTATGTGATCTCTACTCGCGTCCGTTGCGGTCGCTCCATGCAGGGTTATCCTTTCAACCCCTGCTTGACCGAGGCCCAGTACAAGGAGATGGAGGGCAAGGTCAGCACCACCCTGTCCGGTCTGGATGGTGAGCTGAAGGGCAAGTTCTACCCCCTGACTGGCATGGAGAAGGGCGTGCAGCAGCAGCTCATCGACGATCACTTCCTGTTCAAGGAGGGCGATCGCTTCCTGCAGGCCGCCAACGCTTGCCGTTTCTGGCCCAGCGGCCGTGGCATCTACCACAACGATGCCAAGACCTTCCTGGTCTGGTGCAATGAGGAGGATCATCTCCGCATCATCTCCATGCAGCAGGGTGGCGATCTGGGCCAGATCTACACTCGCCTGGTCACTGCCGTCAACGAGATCGAGAAGCGTGTGCCCTTCAGCCACGACGATCGTCTTGGTTTCTTGACCTTCTGCCCCACCAACCTGGGCACCACCATCCGTGCCTCCGTGCACATCAAGGTCCCCAAGCTGGCCTCCAACAAGGCCAAGCTCGAGGAGGTTGCCGCCAAGTACAACCTGCAGGTGCGCGGCACCCGCGGCGAGCACACCGAGGCTGAGGGCGGTGTCTATGACATCTCCAACAAGCGTCGCATGGGTCTCACCGAATACGATGCCGTCAAGGAGATGTACGATGGCATCAACGAGCTGATCAAGCTTGAGAAGAGCTTGTAAATTGCCCACAGCAAACCACCAAGCATCGCCCGAACCCCGGCTCTGCAAGCAACACCATCCGCCTTCAGTCTGGGGAACGCAACAATCAACAACAACAACAACAAGAACAGAAACACGTAGAAATCTTCAGCTCGTCCGCCTTGTCGCTTTTGGGCGGTGCGGGCTGCCAATCAATCTAGTTTGTAGCGATTGTGGAGCAGCTGTTTGTCTGTCCTAGGCCAGGCGTCTTTCGGCATTTTCGTATACTTTGAGAGATCCGGTCTACAACAACATGCAGTCCCTGCAGCACTACCACCCACAACAACAACAACAACAGCAACACCAGAAACAACAATGGAGAACTATTTGACAAGAACAAAAACATTTGCTTAATTCAAAACAAAACAAAAGAATGTGTAACATTTTGACACTCGTGTCAAGCAAAAACAACAAAAAGAAAAACTTTAAATACTTTTATTTTAAGTCTTAAGTTTATAAAAGAATTAAAATTATTAAAAAAATAATAAAAAAAAATACAAAACCCAACCATTAAGTGTAGTTAGTTAGCGACTGTAAAATGGCATTTTAAATGCATTTAATCATAGTATTTAAATGGGAATCCAAAATGTAGGCTGCTTCTATTTACAAGACTTGTTCTCGGCATCGATCAGGGCGCGTATGCCGTCGTACATCTCCTTGACGGCCTCGTACTCGGTCAGGCCCATCCGGCGCTTGTTGGAGATGTCGTGGACGCCGCCCTTGGCCTCGGTGTGCTCACCGCTAGTGCCACGCACTTGCAGATTGTATTTGGTGGCCAGCTTCTGCATCTCCTCCGGTTGGGCTGTCAGATTGGGCAGCTTGATGTGCACGGATGCGCGAATCGTTGTGCCCAGATTTGTGGGGCAGAAGGTCAGATAGCCAAGACGCTCGTCGCGGCTGAAGTCCAGATACTTCCCCAAGGCCTCCACGCCGCCGAGCATGCGATCGTACACCTTGCCCAAGTCCCCGCCCTTTTCCATGGAGATGATGCGGATGTGGTCCTCTTCGTTGACCCATACAAGGAAATTGCGCGCTTCGTTGAAGTAAATTCCGCGTCCGGCGGGCCAAAAGCGCGAGGCACCTGCCGTCTCCAGAAACCGGTCGCCCTCCTTGAACAGAAAGTGTTCGTCAATGAGCTTCTGTTGCACGGACTTCTCCATTCCGCAGAGCGGTAGGTAGCCACCTTTATACGACCCGCTCATCGTGTTCAAGGCACCGGATATCATGCACTCCAGCTCCGCATACTCGTACTCGCTCAGGCAGGGATTGAAGGGAAAGTTTTTCACGGAACGTCCGCACCGGACACGCGTGGACACAATGTACTTGTTGTCGGGATCAAGATTGGCGAAATCCTTGCCCTTGCCGAAGCAGGACTCGGGGTGCTTGTCCGTTTTCTTGAAGCCCTTGTGATAGTCCTCGATAATGGGATCGAAGATGTCGGCAAACGTTTTGTACGCCTCTGCGTCGGGGGCGTAGATTCCAACGCCGGAGTCGTGGTTGCACAGCCCAGATTGAATGCAGTCCAGCAGCGAGGAGTTGAAGGATGGAGTCGTCTTCTTTTTCAGCTTGTCGAAGATGTCCTTTTTTAGGTGCTTCTTTAGCAACGATTTCGAATCGGAGGCGGCCAGTTTCTTGTAGCCCTCCTCCAGCTGCACCAGAGCTTTCGAGTCGACGGGCTTCCCTGCCTTGCTTGCATGCCGACAAAGAATCAAAAATGTCCCTCGACTAAGTGTCCCTCGTAGTCGTAGCATAGTTTCAAATTTAACTGGAATTTTGAATTGAAATAAATTTCATGTGAACAGCTGATTTCAATTGCGGTCGAATTGGTGTTAACATGGTGTCGTATTTGACATATTTTAAAGAGCTGATCCTTTTCTGCTTATATTCGACTAGTAGCATTTTACCCCACATACCTAAATATTATATTATTATATTGAGGATTGGCCAGTTTTCAGATGTTCTTTTTTTTGGATTATTTACATATTAAGGTTCAAACAAAAACAACATAAAACGAATGTGACGTCGTTTTGTGGCGCTGCCAGACTCGTACAATTCGTAGTTGCTGCGGGCTGCCATACAATGATATTTTGTGATATGAAATTCGTCAATTTTGATATTCGGTTTAATATTACTAGCTAGTTGGCCCTCTCAGCCATAAACTAATAATTTTATCCAGTTCCTCAATGAATTTTGTTAAGGATTGGCTAGTTTTTAGATGTCCTTTTTATTGCATTATTTACATATTAAGGTTCAAACAAAAACAACATAAAACGAATGTGACGTCGTTTTGTGGCGCTGCCAGACTCGTACAATTCGTAGTTGCTGCGGGCTGCCATACAATGATATTTTGTGATATGAAATTCGTCAATTTTGATATTCGGTTTAATATTACTAGCTAGTTGGCCCTCTCAGCCATAAACTAATAATTTTATCCAGTTCCTCAATGAATTTTGTTTAGGATTGGCTAGTTTTCAGAACTATTTTTAATGGGATTGCTTGGATAATAGGGTTCAAACAAAAACGGCCAAAGCATAAAACGTAAATGTTGACCAAATGGGACGCCAGTGTTGCTGGTCAACCAAGTTTCTTCTATGCGTAAGGACTTTTGTATACCGTAGATCCTTCCCTATTAATGTTCAATTTGTTGTTCCCAGTTCCATTGAGACATTAATAATGATTTTGTCTTAGATTGACATGTTTTTTACCCATTAATGCATATGTTTTGTGTTTAATAAATACATTTATCCCGGTTCTGATACCTATTATTGGAACCCGTGAGCTGCAAAATTTCGTTAATAACTTTAAAACAGAGACTGAGTAGTTTCTGTATTAATTGGAGCATGAAATTACCAACAATATCTTTATTCTATAATATCCATTTTCCCAAGGTATGCAGATTGCTGCTCATTCCGATCCAAGGTTGCAGAACAGTGCTGCTAATTCATTTCCACATGTTGCTGAATTTTTTCCCATACAAATCAAATGTATCTTACGGGAACGCGTATGGAATGACGCAACAATGAATCTTCATTCCATACGCGTTCCCGTAAGATACATGTTTCTCACACCACGAAAAGTCACCACGAAAACGCTCTCTTCACCTTTGAAAAGAGAGCAAATTTTGAAAAAACCACCACGATTTGAGAGCGAATAATATCGATATTTTTGTACGATTAATGGAGTTTGGCGGTCATTTTGAAAAGTATCTGAATATATTAAAATATTAAATAAATTGGAACTTGATTAAATAATATACCGCAAGTATTCTGAAAGATACGACAAGATGCGTTGGTATTCCTCTATTCCGTTTAATATTACTAGCTAGTTGGCCCTCTCAGCCCGCTCTGTCGGTATTTTCTGGAACTAATGTTGCTGCACTCACGCTTTATCGGCTTTATGTGGAACTACTACGCCAGTAGTGTTGGATAACGTAACAACCACAACTGGGTTGGCGCGACAACAAAAGTTCAAATTCAAATTTAAATTCCATTTATAAAAAGAATCGTATTAAAATATTTTAGCTTCTCCCAACTTGGACCTGTTTTCGTCTGCCCAATTTAATCAAATGTTTCTGACTGTTGCCTCGTAAAACAGAATGAGCCAACATTTTAATAGCTTAAAGCTTAAATACCAAATCAAATATATTATAATTAGTAATAAAAAATAACAATGGCAACAACAAGCAGCACACAGAATCACACATGTGGCGCAAATAAAATTCAGATCCGAACGGCAACACCTTCCCAATAAAGCAGCGTTATCCTCATTATCATTATCAACAGCTTTGGCCGCAAAACCGGATCTGGAGTGGACCAACCTACACATAAAAATTCATTAACTATATTAAAACAAGCGCAAATTAGAAATGTAATAGGTGAGCGGTGAAGAAGATTATTAGCATTTTTATCTCATAATCTCCAAATTTTGACGCTTTTTGCCACCGTTTTTTTGAATAGAAGCCAGCAACGAAATGAAACTCAACTCAACATTTAAAAAACACTTCAGAGGCGCAGCCGCGGCCGCCGCCAACATTTTATGTGTTTTTATACCCTTTTGTTTTTTGGTGAAAACGTGCAAATCCCATAATTTAATTGTTTCAGCATTTAAAATTCAAATTTATGCGACAACACAACAAATCGAAAAAGAGAAGAAACGCTGAAGCAAAACTAACTTCAAATTAGTCAAAGCAGCTTGGGACTCGAGCTCGGAATCGGATTTGGATTGGGATTCGGTTTCGTGTGGCCAGTGAATTATTTCGCGCTGCGCTTGGGATTGATTATTCATAATCTATGCAAAGTTTTCTATGAATGGGACTCAAAGATCCGTCGGATGATCGTTTCGAAAACCTTTGAAGCAGCCGCACAGCTCTTGGGAAGTTTCTAGTCAGAAATGCAGCTTCTTCTTTGGACTTTTCTTTCTACGGCTGCTGCACTTAAAAACTTAATTAAAAATATTAAACACGAAATGTTTGGCGCCACCGTTTAGGAAACGCTCAAAGTGGGACCGGGACCGGGACCGCACACATGCGTGGCCGGTGAGTTATCAGCTCAATTATGCAAGCTAAAAGGCAGCCGCCGCCGGCCCACAGACAGATTTGTCGCATTTGACACGATAATGCACACAAGGAACGACCACACCACACCAAAGCCACACTCAAAGCCAGCAAGTTGAGGCAACAGAGGCTCTCTGTTTTGGCCTCAGCCTCCGTATCAAACTGAGAGCCAGCTCCCACTTCGGCCAACGGCCAACGGCCAAATGGCCATAAAAGGTGCGATAAAACGAAAATTTCACAAGACGGCAGCCGCCGCCACCGGAGTGAGCCACTTCTGCGTCATCTCCTCTGCTCCCTGGACAGTGGTGGCCAGTGGAGGGTCGGCAAACACCAAACAGCCTGAAAGCCGTCAAATCGCTGCTCATAATGGATGCCTTATCTTTCGAGAATTGTTTTAGCTACTACCGGAGTTGGATATTTCTCAGATACTCGACTCGTACCTGTGTGTGTGTGTGTGTGTGTTCGTTTGGCTCTATCGAGAATCAACTGACTGGTCACCATAATGGAGAACATTAATTTGTCTTAGGCTCGCCAAAGCGGTCGGTCTCAGCGCTGCTCTGCCCGGCAAGTTTTGGCTTCGGCGATAAGCAAAACCTGTAAAAACGGAAATGCTGAAGGTTGCCTTGCCTGCCGCCCGTCCATAGTTTTGCATTAAGTTTTCGTTTGATTTCTTTTTTCTTTATTCTGTCCAAATACACTTAAAACTAATTAACAAATGATTTGATTGTAGCTTAGGCCTAACATTATACATTATACTGTACATGCGAGTATATCTCGCAACAGACGCTTCCCCAAAGACTCTCCTCTTCAGTAGGCCAAAATGGCCGAGATGCTGAAGCTGTTCCGTTTGGTGGAGGTCGTTGTGCGTGGGGAGGTGGTGGGTGTGCTGTCGCTTGCCGGGGATGTCGATGGCTCCACGGGGCTGGCCGGCGCTGGAGTAGGATCTTGCACATAGCATAGCGCAGAAGGCAGCGGCATGGGGGGAGCTTGAGGAACAACTCCACCAAAATAGGCAGCAGCATAGCTCAGTGGATGGCGATGGTAGGGCGAGAGGCTGGGGCTGAGAGCAGCCCTGGCCGGGTAGTAGGGTACTGGCGACAGACTGCCCTGGGAGTCCTGCTCACAGTCCAGGCGCTGGCGCTTCGAGTGCGGCGAATCGCAGCTGCTCACACTGGAACCCTCGTCCTCCGATTCCGGGCTGGAGTTGGAGCTGCTGTTGAGCTTGCGCTTGCACCGCGACTGCCCGGACTCGCGAAAGCCCTTGGCAAAGGGATTATTGTCGATCTTCAGCTTGGTAATGCGATCGTTCTGCAATGGGAAAAAGGGAAAAAAGGGAACAGTAAGTAAACATTCCGGAAATTCGAGCTAGCTGGCGTCAGTGAGTGCGGCCTTGCAGCACTTGAAAAGTTCGAGACGGATCCTTGTTGGGACTGTCGTGAATGGAGACGAGACAATCTCAAGTGGATGGCGAGGCGACACTTTTCAAATGTGGCAATCAGACGGGGACTCCCGCAGAGCCTTTATCCCGTCAATCTTCAATGAACTGATATCCTGGTCTGTTCAGTTTACCCACCTGATATGCTGTGACGGCCACGAACTCCGTCTCCGGGAAGACGAACGCCTGCTGCGGGGCCCAGGGCAGTTGGGTGAGCTCGCTGCTGCGAATGATGTGGAGGCGTGGCTGGTACTTATGCATGCTGGCCAAAACAATCTGAGCAGCAGAAAGAGAGATCAAAGATTAGACACACCATTGCATGAGGGTCCGTTCGGTTCCGTTCCAACTTACATGTCCGCTGCTGTCCAGGGTATTGTTGGTCAGCTTCACCTTGTTGAAGAGCAGGGCCTGGGACTGCCAGTGGGAGCCGGTGGCCGGGCTGTCCGGATGCAGATACATGCGCTGTGGGCTCTGGGGCTCGGCTCCTCCGGCCGGGACCCACTGCGAGCCGGAGAACTTGTAGCGGCAGTCGCCAATGGGCACCATCTCCAGCAGGACGCAGTAGCTGGCCTCCTCCTCCAGGCCGCTCAGCGAGACCCGCATCGAGGGGAACATGCGTCTGCAACGAAGAATAGAGTTTGATTAAGTGCATTGCCACGGATTGCATATAAATCAGGGGCAGGGGCAGGGGCCAGGCCTATCCCAAGCGCAAAAAGAGGCGTCACCAGGGGCATCTATTCCATGTTACTTGATTTTATTTCTTTCTTTTTGTTTTTTGTTTTGTTTTTTTGATTTGTGGCCCTGCCTAACAAGTGTGTAATTATGGAATCAGAACGGGCAGCGGGGAGTCTCCGCAACGTATCGATTTAAAACGGAACGCAAACAGATCCCTGGGTCCCAAAACAATGCCACTGACACATGATTAATTGTTCTTCCATTGGAGTATCTTTGGCTATAGATAATGGATGGGGGGAAGAGTGGCGGACCGGGAGCGGGAGCTGGGCATGGCGCCAAGCAATTAGACGCAATCTGAAGTCGACTTAGCGGCTTCCAAAGCGCTGAATGTGCCACTCAATGCATATCTAATGAGCCAAGAAAGTGACTGCGCGGATAGAGGCATGGGCAGCGGCTCATAATTATGTAAATTTCTCTCGGCTCGGTTCGGTTCGGTAGTCGAAATCCCATCCCATATCAGAAATGCCCACCCCAAGATGATAGGGAACGAACGCGCAGAGCAGAGGGGACGGATCGGCTGGATGGCTGGGACAGTGCTGGACCTTTGTGGGCAAAGTGTGAAAAGCGCAGGTAGATCAGAGTTTCGTTCCCAAACCAAACCAAACCAAAGCAAGAGCCGATTGTCAACGCCGCCGAAAGAAGAAAGATTTTTATGATCGAAACGGCGCCAGGTCGGCGTCTTAGTCGGCTTCTTCTTCTGCCGCTGTTGCTGCTGCTGCTGCTGTTGCTGCTGCTGCACTTGTTGTCACTCTATGCAAGCCGAGCCGAGCTCCTGCTGCGTTCTGAATTATGGCCAGGCGCCACATTAGGCCAGGGCCATGGCCAGGGGACGGAACGTAGACGGAGCAGACCCATGGCCATGGTTTCCAGCCAGGGTTTCCAGCAAATATTTACATAGGCTTGGCCGCACTTGACTTTACAAGTTTGTGGAAAACTCGAGCTCTCGATCGGACCCGCTACGAGCACGAGTATTTGCATAGGATAATGTGTGTGGTGTGGAGGAAGAAGTTCTTGGGAATGGTAATGGGAAAGGGAAAGGAGAGGAAACATACCTGCCGCTCTTTGTGATGATCATTTCGGTGCCGATTTTATGAAACTGCTGCCACAGATCGTTGTTCTCCAACTTGGCCTCCACGCCGGGCAGGCCGGGGCGGCTGGGCAGCATCATTTGCGGCTGGGGCATGTTGAAAGGCAGCATTGCCGGAAAGGGATCTGAAAGAAGTTAAAGTAGAAGTAGAAGTGGTTTGGTTAGTTCGTTAGTTCGTTTGCTTTTCCATGGGAAGCTATGCCATAAACGTTCGGGGAGTGGATGTCTTAGAAGATCAGACATAAATCTTAGATATTTAATTATGAATTGAACTTAGGGAGTGATGCCTGAAGATCCAACATCTACTTTAGCTAAAAACATTTCCCGTCGGCATTTAATCAACTCCACCTATCCACCGATCTGGCCACCTACCTGGAATGCGTTGCATTATCTGCTGGCGATAGATCTCGTGGGCCAGCTGCTGCTGCATCCGCACTTCCATCAACTCTTGCATGGAAATCATTTCGAATAACTTCACAAAATAACTGCGATCACTTGTAAAATCTCTGCCGATTCGGTTCTTGCACACACTTCACTCGTTCCGTTTCGTTTTGTGTCTCTTTGCTCTCTGTGGAAGATGCGCTCTCTGGCCTGTTGTTCCCTCACGCTCGACGTTTCGCAACGAACTGATCTGGAGTGGCTCAGCGGCGATGCTTAGCTCAGGGCGCGTCGTAGCAGCCGGTTTTCTCCGGGGTCTACCTGCCAAACGAGTTCCGACGCACGAGGGCAGACGATTGGCTGGCGTGGAACGACGCCTATGTCGCGGCACTATAGCTGACTCGTTCTGGCAGAGATCGCTTCCAGAGCGCCATTTTGTTGGTGGGGACGGGAACGGGCACTGAGAGAAGGCAGAGGAGCGCAGAGCAGGGCAGAGCAGAGCAGTGTACGGGCCGTGCTGCGTGGAGTGGCGAAGTTAACGCTTAGCCCTGTTGATTTTCATCAGCCGCAGTGTTTTTCTGCACCACTGCATCTCCTCCATCTCGCTCTGGCTGCCGGCTGCAGGCTGCCTGCTGTCCTGCTCCTCCCTTTCGCTCAGTCGATCACTGTCAGTCGTCAGAGGGGCCTGGACATGGACGTGGATGTGGATGTGGATGTGGCGTAGCTTGTAATTCAGAAGTGAGATTTTCCACAGCGCGCCTGTCTGCAGCAGCGCTGTCTTCTGTCCCAGCTGCTGCTGCTGCTGCTGCTGTTCGTTTTTCTTCTTTTTCCTCTCTCCGCTCTCTGCTCTTTGTTTCTTCTCTTTGGCGCTGTCGGAAAATGTCCATTGCTGTTTCCATTGCAGCCGTCTTCCGCTGCCCGTGTCTTGGTTTGGGTTTCGGTTTTGGGTCTGGGTCTGGATCTGGCCTTCTGGGCACATGCCCTGCTCCTCCTTTGCCGCCTTTGCCTTCCCCCGTGTAATTAGCCCTGGTCTCTCTCCCTGCCTATCTCCGACATTGTCTGGCATTTATTTTTTTGTGTGTATTTATGTACTTTTATGCAGACAGGTGAAACATAAATTTTGTTGGCTTTGTTAATTGCCCGTTTTGGAATTCCGATATGGCCCCGGCCTGGCCTGGCCTGGCCCAGGTCTTGCTATTGATTTGCCAGCCCATGGCCATGGGGCCCAGTCCTGCAAAACAAAAGCAGAATTAATACATTTCGGGTCTGGTCTCGGGTCTCGACAATTAGCCTATTGATTAGTGCCTGTCAACGTCGGAAAATGGCTGCCGCGTCGCGTTAAAACCTATAAATTACCTACATATGTATGTATATAAAGTCCGACTCGTTGCACCATTAATGCTGCTTGGCTGGTAATGCATTTGGGTGGATCACTTTGGATATGTTGTGCAATCAATCATTTGTTTTATTTATTTCACTTTATTTACAACTGCATTTAGTTTGGCTTGGATTAAAAATAGAGCTAATAAAATGCAATATTCTCATCATTATTCTCATCTTTACGAACTTAAATTGATGCAGGAATTATGGTTGAAAGTTTTCGTATGTGCGGAGCAATCCTTGAACTCCAAGCGACATTGATCTTGAGCTAAACTTTTGGGGCATCAAGTGCATGCAGCAGACCAGCGCAGATCATCACAGTGCCTCGCGTCGCCAGCGAATAATTTCAGGCTCGACTTCACCTTCAATCGACTAGAAAGAAAGTTTCCAGCGAACGCCCATTAAATTTGCATTTCGCTGTCATTTGGCACGCCCTTCGCAGCGATCTGCCCGGTGCGACGAGACGGCATATCTCCGGTGATGTCTCGTCTCTTGGAGGAGTTGTCGTTGCGTCGGGCGCCAGAGCATCATAAAAATATGTTTGCACAAATATCGGAGGATATTTGCCTTTGATTCCCGTAACAAAAGATTCGAAATTGTAACGCTTCACGCCTGCGCAGAGGCCGACAAAGGCGCAGCGGCCCAACAATAGACAGTAGTCGCAGCTGGGGAGGATGCCCTCTGATAACTCAGGTGTTATTGCATCACAGAATACACGCAAGGGACATGCATGAGGGTCACAGGACTAGTCCAAATCAGAGTAAACCCTAATCGAGACTGAGACAGTTGACGCGACATCGGCACAGCCCACAAAGTGACCACGCACTGCTCTCCCATTTGGATCGGGGACACGTCCCAGACTCAGACTCAGTCCCAGTCCCAGTCCCAGCCCGTTTTGCGGTATGTCGATGGCTTGGCTTGGCTTGGCTGGGTGTGAAGTGTTCCGTAGGCGGGCGCGGCGCGTCTCGTTGCTTAAGATGTTTCGCAGTGCCCAGTATCTCCCATCCCATGTACCTGCCCAGTGCCCAGTGCCAGTGCCAGTCGCTGTTCCAGTCTGAGTTCTTGTGTCGCCAATTGAAGTAATAATTTTCTATTGTCCTTTGTCGCGCCTTCCGCGCCCGGGTTTTTCGGGGCAATAAAGCCGATGCCGATGCCGAGGGCTGAGGGCCGAGAGCCAAGAGCAAGACGCGACAAGTGGCTGCGGCTCTCGGAGCGCTCTCTCAAGTAGCCCGTTGGCGCCAGACGACTCCGAACCTCTGGACGCTGGGCTAAGGACATCTGAGGAGGGGTTCGGGCTTGGGTTTGCTTTGTGAGGCTGCTATCTGCCGCCCCGAATCTGCAGATGTTGAACGGTAGCCGGACAACGTACACAGCCACAGCCACAGCCAGAGCCAGAGCCACAGCCAGGTTGACAACGACATATGTTTGGGTTTGATAAGAGATTGGACAAGAGCAGATTGCCCCCAGGCGGCTTCTGTTCTGTTCTGTTTTCTGTGTGGTAGGGGACTGGGCTCTGACGGAAGCTCCACGTCAACCCACACACTGGCCCGAGGGGACGGGGGCTGGGGCTGCTAATTAACATGCAACCCGCAGATCAAAATGATCAGCCATATTCATATATTAAAAGACCATCAGCTTATTAATGCCCATAATCAATGGGACAGGTTACAGCGGCCGATGGCCCAGCCGATCAATAAATCATGGACAAAACCCTAATTAACCAACACACGCACCCAGACACCCAGACACAGAGATCGAAACGGGGAAGAGATCAAGTGTGTCACCTGCCCCTGGAGATCTGCCCGGTGAACTGCCAAAACTACAAGTTACACATAACCAAAGCCAAAGACAAAGACAAAGACAAAGGCAGCGGAAAGAACATCATAAAATATATGTATGTGAGTTATATAAATGATATAAACGACACTGTCTGCGCCTAATAAGCAATGTGCATTGGGCATGGGCCATGGGGCATGGGGCATGAAGGCGTGGCCGCACCCCAATCCCAAATCCCAATCTCAAAGCCAGTGCCAGTGCCAGTTCCAATCCTGAGAAACGAAATGAGCATAAAGATGCAAACTACATGATAAAGTTGGCTCGCAGTCGCAGGTCGTGGCCGAGGCGCCTGCAACTAAATGCTAAACGAGTTAACTCGCTGATAAAGATCTTTTCTGTTTTTTCCACAGTTCTGTTCTCTCTCTCTATCTTTCTGTTTCTGTGTTTTTTTTTTGGTAGATACTAAGCAGAGGCTGGAGGTGCGTCGAGCATCATTAAGGCAAGAAAACCGAGGTGAATCCAGTGCCAGTCGCAGTCGCCGTCGCAGTCTCAGACTTCGAACTCCGACCACAAGCAACGATGATTTAATTTTCCAACACGCTTTCTACCGCGCCAGCATGGCCTGTCCGAATCTCAGTTTTGGTCTTGTGGAATGATCGATGGCCTGTCGTTGAGATGATCACTTGCCGTGGCTGCCTAGCGGCTACTAGTTGAGATACTTAACGACGACCCAAGCCCAAGAGGGCGCCCTGCCTGCCTGCGCCATCTCAGACGGACTCATAATTTGTTAAGATGTTTTGGGCCCGATCGATCGATTGATCAGCGGGCCAGGCCAGGCCTAACCTTTCTCTGCATAATATTTATGTATATTTCTCACGTTATGGAGCTGTCTACCCATCCCCTCCCCACGCCATCAAATCGCCGCATCAGCTGGATGCATTATGGCGCCCGCAAGTGCTTTGGACAGCCTAAGCTGTGTTTGGTTTGGGCTACCGATCGTCATCGCCGCTTCGATCAGCTAGGAGGAGAGGAGAGGAGACGCCGTCGCCCGTCGCCGCCGCCAGGTTCGGCCCCTTATCAGCGTTTCGGCATCTGGGAACATTAAATAGCTACTTAAGATGCATTCCCAGCCGGAGGGAGGTATCGCTACGTATCTATTCCCAGAGTTTGCCATATCGATTACCAGGGGGGGGGGGGGGCCAAGGGCAATTGACCTGATCCCTCAGGCATGCGCACAGAAGTCGAACGGTGTAATCGATACGATCAGCGCGATCGATCGGCAATTGTTGGCTGATCTTTTGCCTGGCTGGCGAAAATTTAGCAACTTTGTCGGCATTTGGTGCCTGTGATCACCGATCTGAGTATTTGATCTATGATTGCCCTTGGCCATTTGCCAGTTGATCGCCAATCCGATCCGATTCGATCCGATCCGATCCTCCCCTTGCCACATCCCTCCCCAGCCTTCAGTCTCAACTGTCGCTCTGGTTGCGTTGTCCCATCTCGTATGCCACTCACAGCTCACTCGCACTAATTAAAATAAATTCTGTCAGACATTCTCGTTTAATTTTTTCGCGCACCTTGTTTTTTGGCCACTCTGATCGGTGATCGGAGGAGCAGGCATTTCATAACAGCACCCCAAGTAGAAAGACAAGAAACTGCCAAAGCCAGAGCCAAAGGCGAAGCCGAAGCGAGAAAACAAGCAATAAATACGTCAGCCAATACGTCAAATGCTTTTGGCCAGCTCTCCTAAATGACTGACTGACTCTGACGGACTCCGTCTGTCTGTCTGTCTGTCTGTTTGTCTCTTGGAGCAGTCTCTGACTGCGCTTTGCTGGGTCCGTCCTGCAGTGGGGACAATTAAAAATGCACATTATTAATTAGTTGTTATAATTGCATTTAAAAATCCATTAATATTTATAGAATTCATAATAAATAATGAGGCGCAGAGTCGCCGTGCTGTGGTCTCGGAATCGGTCTCTCGGTCTCTCGGTCTCTCTGTCCCTCTGCCTCGGACTCCTAAGACGTCGACAACAACGCCTTTAAATGTCAAAACAGTCGGCCAGTAG